AAACTCTGTGATTTCTAATATTTTTCATGTCTTCAATGTCTGTTTTAGTTACAAGTCCAAAGCTTCAACGAAACGTGTCCGGAAATAAGTGTATCCATGGAAAAACAGTTTGTGCTGACAAAAGAAAAGATGGAAGGAAAATGCTGTCCCAAGGTTGAGCCCGTCGCTTGCCGCGTGAATGATAAAATATATGAGGTAAGCAGATTGGTATATTTTTCTACCTTATTCTGATATTTAATTACTGTTATTAAAATATAATTAATTATTTACAGGTGGGACAAAACTGGACATCGCCAAAGGATGCGTGCGAGTCATACCAGTGCGCGCGCGCTGAAGACGGCAAACTGGAGAAGACGACCACCGTACAGAGCTGCGACGACGACTGTCAACCGGTGAGTTTTAAGTGAATGTGCAAAATGATAAATACTTTTCTGAGTATTTAACAGCGGAACACCAGAAAAAAACAAGTCACATAGCAGCTATAATTGACCTTGCCTTCAAACAAAAAACAAAGAAAAGAAAAGAAGAAGACTTGCTTGAAAATAAATCCTCTCACTTAAAAGCTCCTGTTAGTGTTACTAACAGTTATTTCTATCACTACTAGTTTGGATCCACCGTTAATGACCTCAGCATCATAATGCGCGATGGTGGTTTAGGGATTTAGTTTAGGCCTAGTCACCCCTAACTAAGGGCAGGCCCCCTCACTAGCGACGTATAATGTATTGGAGATTATAACGACCTTCAACGCCATCCAAACATCAAATAGACTTCGGCGTATGGCTTATGCCCTGTCCATGTATTGAGGTCAATGTGTAGAGGTTAATACCTTTTCATGACATAGGGCTGGGAGTACGTACCTTCAACGAACAAGAGCGAGCAGTGCTGCGGGCGCTGCAAGCCTGTGGCGTGCGTGTGCGAGGGCGTGCTGCGGCTCATTGGCGAGGTCTGGACCTCCGCTGACTTCTGCACCAATTATACCTGTGTGGACCTCAACGGCACCGTAAGTATTACGTGAAAATTGCAATTCAGTTCTACAAATGAATAATTTTGCCGAACTCTTTTACATTAAATTTTCGTTGGTTTAGTTTGACTCAACAATAATTTTTGTTTTCATACAGCTTCAAGTCCAGAGCTACAACGAGACGTGTCCAGAAATAAGCGAGTCGATGGAAAAACAGTTTGTACTAACGAAACTGAATGAAGTAGGAAAATGTTGTCCGAAAGTCGAACCTGTCGCCTGTCGCGTCGCTGATAAAATATACCATGTAAGTACATCGTGTCAATATATTGCTGTTGAAGTATTTTGATCTCAGTTCCTGGTATCTCTGGTCTTATAATTTTCCAATGAAAGTATTTGTCTTCTTTTACTTTCTTAGTTCATGAAAGGCTAGAAGTTAACTGTAATATGTTGTCAGGTGGGAGAAAACTGGACATCACCAACAGACGCGTGCGAGTCGTACCAATGCGCGCGCGCAGAGGACAACAAACTGGAGAAGGTGACTACCTTACAGAGCTGCGACGATAACTGTCAACCGGTGAGTTCAGTGGTTATAAAATACAGATTCCGAAACATTTGAGGAAAACTACCCCAAAATGTTAGAAAAGTTGGATAACGATAGTAAAATTTATGTATCGTAGGGCTGGGAGTACGTACCTTCAGTGAACAAGAGCGAGCAGTGCTGTGGGCGCTGCAAGCCGGTGGCGTGCGTGTGCGAGGGCGTGCTGCGGCTCATTGGCGAGGTCTGGACCTCCGCTGACTTCTGCACCAACTACACCTGTGTGGACCTCAACGGCACCGTGAGTATTGTCACTTGGGAGACACTCAGGGAATTTAACAGTAGAAGAGATAAGAAGGTGAAACATCCTCTTCCTATGCGTCACTTCCTCCGTCACATTTTGGCGCTGAAAGATCGGAACCAACTTTTGCAAATTTCTTTATTTCAGTTACAAGTCCAAAGCGCCAACGAGACATGCCCAGAGATCAAGGAGGCAATGCTGAAGGAATTCGTGTACTCCGAGGAGAAGATGGCGGGCAAGTGCTGTCCCATCAGGGAGCCGGTCGCCTGCCGCGTCGGAGACACCATATACCAGGTCAATAAACTCACACGCACCTCGACAAGCAGACATTCACGATCAATTTCTACTACTACTAAAAGTTCATAGTTCAATCAATTTCTACCTTCGAAGAAATTGTGAAGATGGATCTACTGAATTCAAAGATAGCACGACACTTTTTTAATGTAAATGTTGTGTAATCAGGAGGGCCAGAGCTGGAATACGTCGGACCCGTGTGTGAAGGCGCGGTGCGCGCGCGACGCGGGCGGCCAGCTGGCGCGCCGCGAGGCGACTGAGGGCTGCGTGCGCGACTGCCCGCGCGGCTGGCTGTACAAGGAGCCGCCGCCCGGCGTCTGCTGCGGCCGCTGCGCGCAGCACGCCTGCCTCGTCGACGACAAGCTGCGGAGACCTGGTAACTCTCACACCGACACACTTGCATCTCACCTGGCTGCGACTTCTACTCAGACTGAGTGAATCTTGCTCGTAGGCGACACGTGGCAATCTGCAGACAATTGTACAACGTTCTCGTGCGAGCGCGACGGCGAGGAGTTTTACACGACGTCGCTGCGGCGGCCCTGCCCCGACGTGTCCGCCTGCGCGCCCGAGGACCTCCTCAATGAGACCTGCTGCCAGGTCTGCAAGATGACACCCAGCCCGCTCAGTGAGTTTACCATCTTTATCTAAATCTATGTGTATCTATGAAAGCCATCCCAAATCAGCGGATGAGTTGAATTTCACACGACATATATTTTAGGGTTACCTAACATGATTTTGAGTATTTTGCATTTGTTCTATCAGGTACTTGTGTACCTAAAACGATCCCGAGCTCGGAGACGTTGGGTCTGATTCGTGTGTACTTGGGCCCACACGGCTTCTGCGTCAACCGCGAGCCCCTCGCCGGCTTCCGCGAGTGCCGCGGTTCCTGCGACTCCGGCACCTTGTACAACAACCGTAAGTTGTTTTTATAAAATCTAGGCTAGGTATCTAGGTTAGCCAAGATTGCTCTTAATGATCACCGGTAATATAAGAGAGTTGCTGGGGTTCTTTGGCAAGCAGGATTGGCTGGAGTAATGAACAGCAAACATTTCAGAATGCGGCTCAGGGCTCAAGCACTTAACTTGTAATCTGCAGATCCTGGGTTTAAACCTGCCACATACCAATGTGTCTTTTGACTTGCGATTTTCCTAATGTTATGGTGAAGGTAACATTAATTATAAAGCGAGCAAATTGAAGGATATTTTATAACTGACCCATACAGGGCTTGCGTTTGGCTATGTTCTAATCATTCTAAGTCAGGGTAGGCATCCAGTTCCTCAGTGGGGACGTGTAGTGAAGTGATGGTAATTCCAGAAACGGGTGCCCACGACTCCAAGTGCGAGTGCTGCGCGGCGGTGAAGTACGACCGGCTGGTGGTGGGGCTGCAGTGCGAGGACGGCACGCGGCGCGACCACAGCGTGGCCTCGCCGCAGCGCTGCGCCTGCCAGCGCTGCGGGGGCGCCGCCAAGTGGACTCACACCAAGACTGGTGCGTCACATCACTCTAAACACTACACTACACCAAAGACATCTAAGAAATATATAGACTAGACATAGGAAACAACATCACCGGTAACTTCTTATATAAGAGACATATTTAACAAACCTAGACGCTTCTTATTGTTTGAATTATTTGTTTGGAGATTTTGACTATCGGACACCAGGTAGCGCTAGTGAGATTATATGAAAAATGTTTTCAAGGAAGTGTCAACTTTGCTTACCCTATAATTTTTTTTATCTCTTTGCACTATAACACATAATGTTAACGTAACACAGACCTCAACTTACCATCTTTCGCCCGCGACACCGTCTATGTTCTAAATATTTGCGAAACATCTAAATCCATCCGTATATGTCACAAACAGCCATCCGTTTAAACTTTCGCATTTGAAATATTAGATATAATTTTGTTTTAAATATGTTGTATAGTTTTAACAAATGTTCAATTTTTTGTCGAGGTCCCATCATCACACATCTCAAACTCGAAAATTTTTTTGTAAATATCTCTGCCGGAACACACCTAACAAAACCAAACTGAATCTTATTTCGTAATTAATTCCAGGAGTGAAAGGACCGAGGTACACATCAGTGCCGCCCAGGTATAAGCAGATCTTCGAGGACGAGGACTACAACATCCCGAGCATGTTCGCCAGGTTCGGCACAACGGGCCGCACCCCGCCCAGACTCTGAACATATTGAATTACCTTTATATTAAAGCACAGTAATTAAAACATGTACAATATGCTAAATTTTTCATTTCTTTAGTAAACCATTTATTATTTATTAAGTTTCCAGTTTAATTGTACACGTTGTCTTTACTGTGGTTTATTTGTTCGATTCCAAAGATGTAAGCTTACAATTTTATACTGTCTTTATTTTTTTTTTGTAAATAATTAAAAAATCAACGCATAGTTATTGTTTTTATTGATTTTATGACCTCGTCCTATCTTTTGTTAAAAATCAGGCACACACCTTTGACTAAACTAATGCATAGCTGTAGTGCGATGGTTCATTGTCTAATTAAGCGCCAAAAGCCTAATGGTTTGGGGTACTGACTACCGATCTTGTCGAGGGTTCGAATCCTTATTCGACTATGACAAAACCATAAAGCACAAGCCTAGAGCTTAGTTGTAATGGTTAAAGGAAATGTTATTGAATTAACTAAAATCTACTAAGAAAAAATATTTCGCAGCCAATTTAAGTTTTTAGTTCCATAACTAATAATCAAGTAATGTGTGCACTTCCATATAAACTCATAGGAATAATGCGAGACTAAACGGTCGTGCGATAATTTAGTCAAAGTTGCGCGCGCTCAAAATATGATAATTCTTCAGACAAGTCAAAGAAAAACTAGCTTTGTTAAAATACCATTCTTTTATATAATATAGGAAAAAATAAAACAACTAAAACTATTTTATACAACTATTTTATTTTCGATAACTTTTTTTTCTAATAACTGGGATCACGTAAAAAAATCTGACCAACTTTCACCAAACTGCATTAGCACATATAAAAAGGTTATTTCGATATAATATTTCAACAAAACAAAACGTTCAAAGTTCCATAAAAGTTTACTTACGAGCCTATCCGTGGGATCGATCCGAAAAATAATACGGTTATATTATTATTACCATTTATTAAAGGGAAAACCATAATAATTCGATCGTCCATAAAATTATAGACCACGCTTTATTGTTGTAATCCAAAGGGGCTTTAGGTCTTTCTGAAATGGGTTTAAATTTACAATAAATATTACTGTCGATAAATAAAAAAGATCGAATACTGATTTTACGACAACCGATAAGTTTGAAAATATTAAAATTTATTAAATAAACAATGTCTCGATAACGTTTTTAATAATTTTAATTAAATAAATATTTAAAATTGATTATGAAGTAATTTCTTCCTGTTTTTGTGCGTCACTGGTTTCTTCCTTCTGAGCTTCTCTTTCTTCTTCCTCTTTCTGCTTCTGTTTTCTCACAACCTCTGATAGATATTTACACCTCTGCATGCATTCCTCCTGTTAAAGAGAATTTTTGAAGATATGCTTGATAGATTATTTCAAACAGAAAATGTTCTGTTGGTACAGTCGGGTAATCTGTCAGTGGTCCACCTTTAAAAGCTATAGTCGTTTGAACGTTTCGTACGTATCGTATTTAGATGACGCGCGATAATAACCAATAGAACGCAAATCAATTTGTAAGAGGCTTTGTCATTGGACAATGTTTTGCAAGTGGAACATCGCAGATTTCCGCGATTTTACAACGCGTTACTAATAATATTGTAGGAAATGACCTTGATTGGTCAACAATTGCTTCAAATATTGATTTCAACTAAAACAAATTGCATAAAATCAATTATTTCTTCAGTATTTAGAAGTAAATTTACACATAATTTTCATTTTTCTATTTAAACTGTGACGTCACAAAATGTTGATTGGTGCATATTGTTTTTCAAATATACTGTAGTGTCCTCATCGCTAAGGAACGCGCAGGGAGAGGGAGAGAGACAGAGAGAGATGGGAGGTGGATGTGGGAGAGGGTGAGAGAGGGATGAGGCAGGGATTGTGTAGTGTATATAGTTGTGTGCATACTTTGGTCTTGCCGGGCACGGCGGCGGCGATCTTCTGCCAGCGGTCGCCGGCGCCGCCCTTGGGGTGCTTGGCCAGCGCCGCCTCCAGCGCGCGCTGCTGGCTCTGCGACCACACCCCGCCCCCGCCCTCCTCCGCCTTGCGCGTTTTCACCTTGTATTTTCAAACTTCGTTACATCATATATTCTATCAATAATTCCATTAAATTTCTTCATATTTCCAACACTACATAAAATCTTAGGAAAACACAAGTTAAATTTTATTAACTTATATTGATAACGCCATGGGACACGATTCTAACATAAAACATTACTATTTCCTCTTTAATTTATCCACTACATTTTGATAGAAAATGTATTAATCACGGGAGTAATTTGACAAACACATTTCATAAGTTATTTTACATATTTCATAGATATTTTTGCATATAAGCAATCGGTAAAATAAGGCCCTGCCTCCTGAAACACAATTATTCTTTTTAAGGAGACACAGTCCCACCACCAGTACGAAACTGTTTTGGATCAATAAAGACTTTTTTATACCTTCTTGGGCTGTTCGGGCACGGCTTCCTCTGCGGGCTCGTGTCCGGGTATCTTATAGCAGTTGTCCTTGAGGCGCGCGGCGACGTGCGTCACCTCCGCCACGCCGCGCCCCATGCCCTCCGCGATGCGCTCCCAGCGCTCCGCCGTGCCCCCCGG